CAAAAGTAGAAGGGGATAGGCAATAAATATTTAAAGATTTAAAATTTCTGAATTTAGTTAAAATTATAGCACATTTCCAAGAAAAGTGAACCTTTTGCACAAGAAATATGAATAAAATCATACCAAGATACACGAAAATGAAATTGTCTAAAACTAATTGGACAAAATTAGAAATCAATATTAGAAAATTAAAGAAAAAAATCACTAATACATAGAAAAAAATTAGCTATGAAAAAACAAAATTAAATGGCATCTTATTCCACATTAGAAAAAGAGCTAGTGGGTAAGAAACTTATTTATTGAAAGGACTGAAAACAAAATAAAATCTGTCTTCATTGAATTTTATACTTAGCAAACATACCTTTGAAAACGAAGAACAGTGTATTTTTAAATGTATCATTGTAAACAGATACCTGACAAACAGGTGTGTCGAACCTGTGAATAGTAAGTACCTTTGGGGACCTGGGATGGCACAGAGCAGTGATGGCAAACTTCTGGCACATATGCACACCAAGCTATTCGTTGTTGTTGAAAGTGCTAAAAGATTCGCCATCACTGGTAGAGAAGACAAGGGGAATTTCGGGGTCACTGTATGAAATTCCTTTGTTGGAAGTACACTGACGTTATACATCATCTGTTTAATGTTGGGAGAATGTAGAGGTTTGTGTATTTCACTCTCCAGGCCCACTGATTTTCAGCGTCAATTTGTGGGTTCTATTTTTCTTACTTGTATCTTTCTTTACACAGGTGGTCTTGGGCATTAGCACTCTGCTGATGTATGTTCCGACGCCTTTGGCTGCCACTCACCAGTCAGGCTCTTTGGCTTTGCTTAGTGGTGCCCTTTGGTTTATGAATGAACTACGAAGAATTCCCAAATAATTTAGAGGATCAGCCTCTTAGGATTGAAACTGCTTTTGAGAGTTCATCCAAGAACACAGAACTTGGGCTTTCATATGAAGATGACCTAAACATGCCAGGTGGTTTCCAGATTGGTCATATTATT